TATCTAGAACCTGTCAGGAGTTTAACGCTGCCTTATTTCTTAATAGGTTCTCTGTATAATTTGGGGATGTTAGCTTTTTAAGAGAGCTCTGGGTCCCTGGAGGACTAGTGGTTAGGCCACGGCGCTCTCACCACTGCGGCCCGGGTTCGATCCCCCAGCCACTGGCGCTGCATGCAACAGTGTGCTCTCAGTGCCAGTCCCAAGCCCGGGTAAAATTCAGGAGGGTCGCGACAGGAAGAGCATCTGGTGTAAAAACTGCGCCAAATCAAAGAGGTGGACCAACGATCTGCTGGTCCGAACGGGAACAGCCGAAAGAGGAACAACAGCTCTTTAAGAGAGCATTACTTAAATACTGGGGAAAAAAAAACCCTTAACCAGTACCTAGAGGAACAGAAAAAAAGAACCATTAAGGGTTCTAGATTTTGTTTTTTTCTTTTTTTTTTTTTTAAGTGTGGGTTGCATGACTTGGGGGGGGGGGGGGGGGGGGGAAATCACACACACACACACACTCTCACACACACTCTCACACACACGCGTCAAAACCCAAACTAAACCCAAATAACGGATGTCATGCAGTGTGTAAACGTAGACAGTTTCCTCTGTGTGTGTGTGTGTGTGTGTGTGTGTGTAGGTAAAAGACCTCAATAAGGTCATAAAAGTTACACAAGTGTTGCTTTTTATGTCCAGATGACGAGGCTGTTTCAGCGACCAGAAGAGGAAGTTCCGATTTTCCAGAAATATCAGCCTGCATTTGAGCACTACACAGCAAAATGGCAATACGTTAACATATCACGCCAACACGTGAGAGAGAGAGAGAGAGAGAGAGAGAGAGAGAGAGAGAGAGAGAGAGAGAGAGAGAGGGGGGTGAAACAGTGACACAGACCGACCAGTTAGACGGACAACCTGGTTAGTCATGAGAAAATGCAAGAGACATAGAACACCCAAATTAAGACAGACAGACGGACAGGACAGACAGATGAGTAGACAGACAGAACCGAGAGGTAGACAGAAAGGTAAGACAGGTTAGCTGCATCACACTCGCACAGGACGACAGTTAGCCAGATCACGCTCGTGCAGTACGACTGTTAATCGCAGGACGACAGTTACCCGTCTTACACTCTCAGCATTCGTTTTGTGTGCTTATCACACAGCCGTAGTTACAACATCCTTACAGCCAAACACAAGCTTACACAAAGTCTTTCTGTAAACACTGATAACTTTTTAAGTGCATTTGAGAAACAACAGCTGGCAGCGTGAACGCTAACGTGTGAGAAAGACAGACAGGTAAGCCAAACGGGTAAGACAAACAGACAGATAAAAGAGATAAACAGGACAGACAGTCAGACAGACAGACAGATAAGATGATGCAAGACAGACAGACAGGTAAGAGAGACACACCGAACAAAACATCCACACCTGTACGTGAGCAAATCACCCTGTTATTTAGTTTTTTTTAAACCCCGCCCACATCTGCATACATCTGTTGCCATGGTTATATTCCGGAGGTTGTTTTTCTCACTCTGTTCTTGTGGATATAATTAAACCGGTTCTGTTCTGCGGTTAAACACAGGCCAGGTCTAAACTGATATTTCTGCCCATCATCGTGGTTACAGCATATCAGGAATAGATTAGAACTATTATTAAATTTATATTTAAAAAAATAATATACTGTGCCTTCGGGCCATGAATATTTTGTGTGAATAAAGCACACGGAGACTGGAGCAGGAGTTCCACATATGCCAGGACATGTTCTGGAGCTTTAGAACTGAACATCTCCATAATGACACCTCCGCAATTTAGAGATTAAAAAAGGATAAAATCTTTTCAATTAAAAAAAAAAAAAAAAGTCATGAGATCTTGTTCTTAAAAACTAATAACTCGAAAGTATTTCCTCTCGTGCCTGAGGTGAGGGTCAAGAGTTTAGGATTTCAGTACATGCTGTACTGCACAAGTCACTGCAAACACCTCATAAAGACACGTGTGTGCGCGCGCACGCGTGTGTGTGTGTGTACACAGTTAATATTTTATAATCAGAACAGAGGATTCCAATGCTGTACTGTTTACTGTAACAACCAGATTTAACTGGAACAGAGCTCACTCACACACACTCACACACACTCATTAACACACACTCACAGTCACTAACACACACACTGTGACTGATGGGTGTTTTCTGATCTGTAACTAATGTGTTTTTACTGACAACAGCAGGGTCACCTCGAGAGAGACAGACGGGTAGTGAGACAGGACAGGTAAGACAAATAGGTAAGATGGACAGACATGTAGGACAAACTGGTAAAAAAAAAAAAAGACAGAAAGATAGACAGACAACTAAGACAAGAGTAAGACAAACATGTAAGACAGACAACCAACAGACAGACAGATAGATAGAGACTGAAAAGTAAAATGGTAAGACAGGTTGAGAGGTAAGACAGGTTGAGAGGTAAGACAGAGAGACAGATAAGAGAGAGACAAATAGAACAGACCAACAGACAGACCATTAAGTCAGAAAGACTGACGGACAGGAAAAATGGTAAGACAGACAGACATGGTAAGACAAACAAGTAAGACAGAAAGAGAGGTAGGATAGAGAGGTAAAGGCAGACAGGTAGAAGACACTGAGGCAGTGTAACAAAGACAGAGACAGGTTCAGTAATAATCCTGTGTTTACTATAAACACAAGGGCTGGAAAACTGCTGCAAGTGACCTCTGACCTCTGCATGTTAATATTAACACATTACTTCCTTGTCATTGTACTTTACTTTAGTGAGCACACATGTAATATCTCATACACACGGCGTCATAAATGCTTGACCCAGAGCTACCATAAAATAAAAAAATTAAAAAAAAAACACACACACACACCACCGGAGTTGCCAGTCTATGCTAAAATATCGCTACCCGTCCTATATCGCTAGAAGTCCTATAAGTGCAGGATGACAGTTACCTGTCTCACACTCTCAGCATGCGCTTTGTGTGTATCACACAGCCGTAGTTACAACATCCTCACAGCCAAACACACGTTTACACAAAGTCTTTCTGTAAACACCGATAACACCTTAAGTGCATTTGAGAAATAACGTCCGACAGCGTAAACGCAGCGGAACACACGCACAAAATAAAATCGTTTAACCTCACAGGTGTTTTTCACGCTGTCGCATGATGGTAAAGCAGGCTCGCGTCAGGAGAAGCGGCTCTTTAATCTCGAGTATCAAACGAGGCTCACTCCTGAAACCCCAAGTCTTTATATTCTATATAAAGTCTTGTCAAGAGCACCAAATTCCTTTGTGGTCACCTGGTTTAGAACCTCAACCTGGTGGTCCCTCAACACCAACTCCATAACAAGTAAGCCCAGCAGCATCCCTACTTTCTGAGAAGGCTGAGGAAAGCCCATCTCTCACACCCCCCCCAATCCTCACCATGTTCTACAGAGGGACTATCAAGAGCATCCTGAGCAGCTGCATCACTGCCTGGTTTTGAAATTGCACCGTCTTGGATCGCAGCGGGTAGTGAGGACAGCTGAGAAGATCATCAGGGTCTCTCTTCCCTCCATCATAGACACCTACACCACACGCTGCATCCGCAAAGCCACCAGCATTGTGGAGGACCCCAAAGCACCCCCTCACACACACTCTTCACCCTCCTGCCGTCTGGCAAATGGTGCCGAAGCATTCGGGCCCTCAAGGCCGGGCTGTGTAACAGGTTCTTCCCCCAAGCCATCAGACTCCACAATATGCAGAGACAGGACTGGCAACAGACACACACACACACACACACACACACACACACACTCATACTCAACTGAACACCATCCCACTCCCTTTGTAATTTTTGCACATTTCTGTAGTCATCACCTACATTTTGTTTTGCTGCTACTGTATTTGTAAAATATCATATATACGGGTTCTTGTCACTACTATACTCTCTACCTGGCTGCTACCCCAACAACTGCTATGCCCATATATGGTATAAACTTATTTGCAGAATACTATGTCATAGTTGTTACGTTTACATTCACAGCAATTTATTATATTATTATTCTTTTGCACTACTGTTGTACCTGACACTTCCACACTAGAACTGTGTACTGGTCAGCGCTTCACTGTCTCTTACTGTCCCTATTGATCCGGTTTTACAAGCTATTGTACTGTCTTAGTTATTGTGTTGTATGTTTAGTAGTTACTGTAATGTCTTGTGCGGTACGCACACGTTTGGCACATGCACTTTATGTACAAACGTGTAGTCTCTTGTAGCTTCGTGTTGTCTGACGTAGCACCATGGGCCTGGAGGAACGTCGTTACATTTCAGTGTGTACCAACTAGCCGCGTATGGTTGAAATGACAGTAAAGCCTCTTGACTTGACTTAAGAAGTTCTACAAGCTACATTTTTTTAACCTTCATGTCCTAGAAGTTTTTTTTTTTTTTTTTTGTTATAGGTTTGTTTTAGCTAAGTTTTAACTTTTTAGGCTGCAAGTTCTACAAATATTTATGTTTTTAAACTTCTGTTGATGCAATATTCTGGACTGAAATCTAAAATTTTAAGTCTTTCTGGCTTCAAGTCCTATACTGTTTACTTTTTTAAGCCCCATAAATGTAATTTTTCTACGATTAAAGTGCTACAAAATAGACATTTTTAATTTTTTAAGCTTCACTTCCTGTGTTTTGATTTTTAGAGCCTTCACGTCCTACAAATTTCTCAATCTTAGTTAAGAAAGTTGAAATCTTTTAGGCACAAAGGCCTACAAGTTTACATTTTGTAGATTTTAAGTTTCAAGTGCTACTATTTTTAATTCATTTTTAAGCTAATCTACATAAAATCTACATAAAATAATTCTACACCATGCTAGGCTAAGCTGCGCTAGCTGACTGTACTCTACATTAGGCTAGTCTACATTATTCTCAAATTAAGTAATAAAATTAAAGGTTTAAAATGTAAACGATTTCCGCCATTACTGTAGGATCACCGTGCAACGTTTAAGAGTCTACATTTGCATAACCCCGCCTCCACTCCACCCCTCCTCTTCCTCCTTAACACCCGTTACAATTTTATCAAACTACCAGATTTAAAATCTCGGAAAGGATCGGAAATTATAAACAAATTAAGACATTTAAATATTGCTGAAAATTGGAATTTGAGTTAACTTGATACCAAGATTCTAAACTCAGC